CGTCCATATGATCCAACAAAAGCCAATTATTCTGGTCAAAAACAATGCAGGCCGATCTTTAATCATGTTATCAAAGGTTCACCAGTATCTTTCAATACATATTAAATTACACGTAGAACTATGCTGTATTGTGCAAAAGTCTTAGGACAGCTGAGAAAGTGATGTTTAAAGACATTCATCTGGACAGTAAGCATTTCATTTTTTGAAAAACATGAACAGAATAAATACAAATAAATAATACACTGTGATATCTGTTAGCTTAACCATTTTCAAAGTTCTCCCCAAAGAAGACCAGTATTTACAGTTACCATCCAATACCTAATTTATCCTTCATTAAATGAAATCAGGTGAGCTGCTAATGGGATCCATACAATGACTGAAGTGCAAAGAGAAGGCAGAAAACAAACTTGTGCTCTTCTAACTGTATTTTTTCTAACCAACATATTACATTTTTTGTTACTTTTTACTGTACTTATGTTTATTTGTGTTTATTCTAATGTTTTATACTATTTTTTAGTGGTATTAAGATGCTTATTGTCAAAATAAATGGTTTAAACAATTTTTATGGCTGCCTAAGTCCAGTAATTGCTATATGGCATTTTGTGCATATCATGCAACTCTAGTAAGTATTAACATAATTGCTAGAGTGATAATTAGCTTCATTTGGCAATAGTTTTTCTCTGTGTAAATAGTCCTTCTTTGTTCAAATATTGCAACACTGCTAAAAAAACTAAAATATTCCATTGTGTTATATTAGTTATTGATTTAGGTCACATACATACCAAAGACCACATGATAAATGATTATGCCATGATCTATGCCATTTTAATAATTAATAATTAATTTTAGTTTAGAAAATAAAGCAGCAGAGATGAAACTAAATGGGGTTAATGCCCCAATACTTATTACAAAAAACTAAAATATGTGATTTTTTCCTCTTTAGTATTGCTCAGCTCCAATTAAGAGATTTGTTTCACTAATATGTTTATTATGTTTAATGTTTACCGGATATAATATTGAAAGCATCCTTGTGTTAAAGAGCATTGTGCAAAGAGAGACCACCATTTATTTAATATCTCATCAAAATGACTATTAAATACAGGTTATTCATTATTTAGAGTATTTGTGAGGAGGCTAGCCATTAGATAATCCACTTGCATAAGGAAGGAGAAAGTCAAAATAAGAAAATAAGTGAAAAAACAGGAAAAAACAGGAGTTTCCAAAACTGGATTTAAAAAAATTATTAAAAGATACAGAGAAAATGAGATGTCTAACAACCGTGCAAGACCTGGTAGACCACCAAAACTGTCCCCAACAGATAAACAGAACTTACAGCTTTCATCTTTGAGAGAGAGAAGAAAGTCAAGCTCTACTCTTGCTTCAGATCTGAAAAAATCCACAGGTGTGTTTGTCCATTCTTCCAGTGTAAGAAGACAACTCTACATTATGATCCTGAAAGGATGTGCAGCTGTCAAGAAGCCGTTACATAAAAAATGAAACAGACAGAAAGAAGAAAACAAAGAAGCTACTGTTCTCAGAACAGTGGACTGACCACCCCAGAGTCCAGACCTCAACATCCGCTAAATTTGTTTGAGATTACTTGAATTGTGAGAAGCAGAAAATAGAACCAACTTTTAAGACTAAACTTTGGAGGTGTGGAAAAATATCCCTGCAGATTTCTGTAAAAAACTAAAAGTAAGTCTCCCAAACAGAATGGAAGCTGTAATAAGGCATGGACAGACTAAATACTGAAAAAATGATGCTGAAAAATGATTAACTTGTACTTCATGGCCACTTTGACTGAAAATTAAAAAGAAAAAAATGAAAGAGTGGTATCTGTCTTTTGCGCAGTACTGAACAGGGATAGGAACTTTTTATTCTCGTTATTAACCATCTTTTTCTGTTATCTGTTTTAGCTTGAGGACTCTCCAGAGTTTCAAGTACCCTTTCAAACACCCTGCCTGCCTATTTCGGTTCTATAGTGAAAGTGTCAAATTCCTCCTCCTCTGTGGTGAGAGGGCTGTGGATAAGCGTCTCGCTGCTGCAGCCACGTTCAGCTCTGGCAGATGGACTCTGAGCAGAGATATGTGCCTCTAAACCAAATCAATCTTTTATTGAAGCCGTGATGGCAACAGCCATAAAAAATGCCGCTTGCTCCTGCATGGACCAGCTGCGAACCATTACTGAAGGATGCAGCGATCAGCCAAGCCCGCTGCACCCCTTTTCTGCAGCCTTTTATTCACTGAAAATCATGCTAGACTTTAGAGGGATAAGCAAACAGCCCCATGATTGGGTTTGGCTCTAGATTAATATGCCTCTGCGCAGTGCTTCCAAATATGGAGATAATTCTGCTAAGTGCATTCCCTTTCTCTGCCTCACTCTCTAAAACTCCGCTGATTTACTGCACCTGCAGTCCACTGCTACACAGGCTGTATGATTGTAACAGTACTAAGGCCTGAGAGCACAACAGCAGCTCATTTATGATGTTCTGTCATTTATTTTCCACCAGTGGGCCAAATGCTAATTAGACACATGACCATTTACAGCTGCGCTTCTTGAATCCACAGGGTTCTGCACCAAGTATGACAGAAAGCTACTACAAAGATGAACGGCTGTTAAGGTTTTGCGAAATCTCTCTAAAGAGTCATCTCCTGATGCTCTTACAGAGGTAATGCATTTCGAAAACCTACAAGCACAAGGCAGTTAAAAGTCCAGTTTTACACTTTATTTTTTTCGTGAACTTTTGCCTGCATTGATTGCTACCTAAGCTGCTCTTTCACTTAAATGTCTATTGATTGAAAAGGGTATGAGGAGCAATGTGTGTTGTTCATAAACACTCCTCAGGCTCAGGCTTAAACTGAAGCAGTGGAAAGCAGCACAGAAACTAATGCGAGGTAAAATGTAACAGGGATATTTTATATGGTTAAACAGGTTCAAGCTGAATGTGCTTTTAGTAATAATCCCGTATTCCCATAGCAACGTCATCTGCAACCTTGAACACATTTTTCCAGATTCACCTTGAAGACCATAAAAGTAACTTTATTCATCATGGGTCTTCTCTGATTACTGAGATGTGTGCATAAGTCAGAGAAGTCATATCTATATTAGTTTAATTACTCTCTTGGTGGCTGCAATATGGCATTATTTTTTAAGCATGCAGATAACTCACAGAGCTATCCAGGCTAAAGTATACCCACCACACAGTGCGGTTAGATGTTGCAACTAAGCCTTCCAAGGGAAACAATGGGACCAGGCAAAGAATTCCACATCCCCCATATAAATTCAGTCCAGTTTTTGGAAGTTTGTATGCAAAAATTCATCAAAAATGTACTGTAGGCATCATAAAATAAGATAAAAATATATGTAATAACATTTATGCTTTTATGCATTTTATACTATTCAACATAAACATATATTGAATTAATTGTGCTTTGCATTGATTTACTAGACTTTTTTGTGACTGTTAAAACTAGTTCAGTTGGTTACAATAAACCCTGCCAAAGGGGTCGGTTGTAATGTTTGCCCTCACTCTGCTTTCAGCTGAAGTGTTCACAAATGGTGGGTGCTGGAAACAAATTTTATGTTTGTCTTTGTTGCAGAGATGTGTATGTTGCTTTCATAAAAACTCTTAATCTTGCTCCAATTCTGTTTAAATTATTAAGCAAAAGAAATAAAATATGTTAGGCCATGTTCTGCTCTCCCCTTTTTCATGTAACATAACTTTCAGTCCACAAGTGATGATCATACTGGACCTAAACTCTTAAAAATAAAGCGTCCAAAAAATAAATGGTTCTTGGCCTAGGCAAAAACTTGAATTGGTGTAGAACCTTTACATTATGTTCTTTAGGCTTTACTGAAGAATTCTTTGTAAGTTCATTAGTCCATGATTTTGTCCATGCTAGACCTACACTGTTTAAAAGAACATTTACTAAATGGATCATGGCTTAGACAAACCCCTGTAAAGTCTTTACACTAAGCTCCCAGGCTTAAGCTGAAGTATTCATTTAATTTAATCAGACTGTAGATGTTTTTAACATGCTGGGCCTACACTCCTAAAAAGAAAGGTTCTAAAATGATTCTTGGCCTACACTGTTAGAAATAAAGGTTCTGTACAGCAAGGTTCATAAAGATACAAATAATATTAATATACCCTCAAAGGTACAACAGTGGCTTTAAACCTGGAGATGAGACAGAGTGTGTGGAGTCAATACAAAATATTATTTAAAAGGATTATAGTATGATTATATTCTCTGATTAAGGGTACTGAGGTGTGCTTTTGAGTGACAAGAGGGGTACTGCCCTAGAGGCACTTTAGTACCTTTTTTTCTGAGAGTGTAGCAAAACTTTGAATTACACATTATGTTCTTTAGGGAACCAGAAGTGGCTCCTCTGTGCTATGGCCCCTAAAAACCTTTTGGGAGCCTTTATTTTTGAGAGGGTAGGCCATTTAAAAGCTGGTCCAGGAGCCCAGTGCAGCTGTGGAGAGTTGAAGAGATAAATGAACATATGACAGATTACAGTCAGTGTTGTCCTCATATTCTCCTCCACTCCTATTATTCATATAGGCAGCAGCGTTCCAGGGGATGAACAGCACCATCTGCAGAGCATTACTATCCTCTCAAACAGAGCTCCAGCATTGCCTTTGGACGGCTACGTTTCCAAATGAAGTACAAAGATAAACAGCCTGTTATTACTGATAACTGTTCACACTTTTGAGAAGATAATTAATTGCTTGAGGTCCACCACACATATTATATACCACAGACCATGATAAATGAGCTGGTAGTGAGGGAGTGATTTGTGCCATCATAAAGCCCAGTTAAGAAGATGAAGCAGTGGAGGAGAAGCAAAGAGCCAAATGGAGGCCGTCATATGCGTGATCTAATGAGGTTGAATGGGCCCAGAACAAAGCACAGTTCTACTCAGCATCCTCATCAGTGTTGTCGTCTCTGTAAGGCTTTCTGTTTCAGCAGGCTACGCGATAACCACAGCAGGCTTACCTGATATGATGGGCGCCAGGCGGAATATGTCAGACAGACGGCTGTTCACTGGTTCATACGGAGAGTCCTCCAGCAAATCATTGCCTGGAAAATGAGAACAAACAACTCAATTAGCGCACTCGAAAAACAGCACCAGGAGAGGATTCAGCGGCTTAGATAGCATTGCGTGCTTCCAGGCATTACATACACGAATGCGGCTCGCAGGTGCATAACTCCGATTTAGATGTAAATGTGCTGCTCAAGAGCGGCCTTGCTCTTATCACTGCTGCTTTTCAGAAGTCGTTAAAGTCAAGGTCGAAATTAACTTCGTACATCTAATATGTACAGCCCCCCGCAGGGAGCCCCCCTCTCATGCATGTTTACTGAGCAAAAAAGCGCTTGATAGGAAAGGGAGGGACTTTATTGTGCTTTTGGAAACTCGAAAGCAGCTGTTGCTTTTTTTCCCCCTTCTGCCTACCCTGAAGACTCTGGTAGATGCTCCAGAAGATGCGCAGGCAGTTCTTCTCCTTCTTCATGCCTCTCCTGCACTTGCAGTTGTACAGGGGGCTCTGCTTCATAGCCTCGATGGCGCTCCTGCACTCGTCCTGCGCCTCGGGCTCGGCCAGCATGCTCAGGTTGCTCGCCTTGCCGGCCACGCACTGCCTCATGGTGCGGTACTTGGTGCTGCAGCCGTACTTGCCCAAACACTGTTCATGAGCCCTAACACAGTCCAGACGAAGCACGCGAGACTCCTCAGCCTCCGAGATGGACAGCACATCTGGACAAGAAAGCAAGAAACTTAGGAACTTTTGCAATTCAGGCAGTGCTTTTTAAGACAAAGAGCAAACATTCAGTCACGTGGATGGCAAGAAAAGCAGAGGTCATTCACACTACATCTCAAGCAATGCGTTTAATGATCTGCGCATGGATTAACGCAAAAAACGCATTACGCACGGCACATGCAATGGACAAACTGACCATCTAAGGGCTAAATTACAACACAAATAGGGTGGACATGGTTTAGCATTCGCACCTCTCATATATGCCAATATTGGAAGTCATTTTAAATGCCTCCTTGCTATGAGTGAAGTACATTTACGCGCAATAATCCTTGACCACATGCGTTCCAACTTACCCAAAAGAGGAAACAAGGTCCAAAAAGTTAAGAAGAGCATCGTGACTTTGTTAGGGTCCCTTTAACGCAGCAGGAAAGCAACTTTTCTTAGAAATCGCGACGCATCCCCGTTTTCCCCGTAAATCCACTGCGCGCTGAATGCGCGCCGGACAGAAGCGAGGGAGCGAGCATGGTGCTGCTGTACATCCACACAACCTGTTCTCCACTGCTGGACACACCCCGGGGGGGAAAGAGAACACAAATGGCGCGTCCCCAGATTTTAAACACGGCAAAACTGGAGGCAGAACTCAGCCAAGAGCCCGTGCGTAATTGTGGCCATTCCTGCGCGCTTCTCTCACCGTCCTCAGCACAAATCTGCTCTCGCAGCGGATGAACTCATTCCCCAGCTGTGGCAGATGTGTGGCCGTGTTGGGGTTTCTGAGTAAAGCAGTCACAGCCCTTTTCCCCTTCAACTGCGCTCACTCACTCACTCTCACGCACGCACACGTCACACACGCTGCCACATCCGAGTCGGTCCCGGCGGGTGTAAGTTAATCCTCACTTCAGCCCTCAGCGCGCTCCCTCAGCTGTCCCGGCAGAACTAACGCAGCAGCTTCACAGGGACTGGACAGCATCTGGGCCACTTTACTCTCCTTTCCCCCAAAGCTACTGAATTACTCACTCTGGCTTTTGGCTCCAAGTTAGGTTCGCTGCTTTCCAGCTCGGGGAAACAAGAGCAACAGCGTCCCCTACCTTCCATATTCTGTGTCCCACTCGAGTATCTGCATCCCGTCGCTGTAAGAGAACCTCGTAGTAACAGAAACCTCGCCACCGTTTGAAAATGCCCTGAGTGGAGCTGTACAAAATTCTTAAGTAAACATTTCAGTGGTAATTTCTTACGTAAACATGTGTTAATACCTTTTGTTTATAATTCCTATATTTAAGAGATTTTCTTACCACAGCCTCATCACACAGTGCAGTTTGTAATCTCATAGCCTCACTGTCATTGCTGCAGGAAATTAACAAAATGCATCACTTTCTGGCAAGGAATCCATGCTGAGTAAAGCATGTGAGCATGTGATAGTGCTGCATTATTCTGGCCAGACTGTAATAATCAGGGTTGGGATGTAACTATTTGGAATACATATTCAGGATGCAGAAATTAAGGATCAGTATTCAGTCCAAGTTTTTTTAATAAAGCAGTATTCAGAATACAGTTACCTTTTTACATTCTAGGATAACACTTTTACAACACTTGCCTGCTAAATTAAAAACAAATTATATATAACTTAATTTAAAAGAAATACCACTAATGCTTTTACTATTTCAAAATCAACACAGCACGTAAAGACATTCTTCTAAAGAAGAACCCAAAAAACAGCTTCTTTACAAACAGTTCCTGCTAAAGCCTGAGTGGACTGATGAACCACAGTGATGAGTAAGGTATTCTGAGTGTTTGTAAACTCTTTTGAGGGATGACTGATCTGAAGTCTCCTCAGTAGTGGACATGTTCAGTAGTGATAAGCTCAGCTTTGGTGTTGTGCTGGACTTGTGCATGTGTTTCATGGCAAGTTAATTGCATTCCGTCAAGTGAAAATCACACAGCTACTCACTTTATAGTCAAATTTACAAACATTTGTTATTGGGATGTGGCAAATTGTTGGCTTAGGTCATAAAGAGGAGTGGGATTATGGGAGAAGTGGTGGATTGAAGCAAGCCATGAGAGACAACACAATGTTGAGAATTTTGTATACATTTTTGTATTTATTTAAATAATTGAATTTTTCACAAAACATATTAACAGTAGAATTACATAAAGAAACCTGTCAACCATGAACAGTGAAGTACAGTGTGAAATAGATAAAATTATTCAGCAGTTTTCCCATGGACTGTAATGTGTATGTATTCTAAATGTTTTCTGAATATGACCAGGACGTCTACCAGAAACTCTGAGAGGATTTTGTCCCAGGCCGTGTGCTCTTTTCATGAATTGGGTGACTAGGTGAGCAAGTCAGCAAGTCAAATCAGTGTGAGAAAGCATCACCCAAGGACTGCTGTGCCTTGTGTTTACAATACCAGTCAAACATTTGGACACACCTACAGGTAGACCGGTTTTCCTCATTTGTACTGTTTTATTTTATAGGCATTAAAGCTATGAAATAACACAACTGGAATTATTCGGAGACCAAAAAGTGTCAAACTGTCTTTAGATGTTTTAGACGCTTTTAGACATGAGTCCTCCTTTTGCCTTGATGCAGCTTTACACACTGTTTTATTGTTCTCTCAAGCAGCTGCATGAGGAGCCACCTGAGACACTTTTCAAACAGGACTGAAGAAAATATTTGTGTGCTGAGACCTTCACGTTACTGAAAACCTCTTTTTGGGAGACAATAAATTGTTGTTGTATCCATATAACCATGAATCTCCTTGTTTATTTATTTATTTATTTTCTTTGAAATCTCCAGCTGCCTTTTACATTGCCCTTTACATTTCATAGCAGGCATTAAATGATAACTATCTAAACTAGTGTGCAAAATATTAGGCATATAAGCACTTTTTTTTTAAACCATTTATCACAGCATTAATTTTATACTTGTAAAATACTATATCTCATTAGAAAACATGCACATAAACATAAATATAGTAAAAGTAACAAGAATGTCGATTTGTTGTGATTTAGTTTACAGAACGAAGCTTGGTTACAGATTTCTCCTTTTATTCACTACCATTGATTCACCTGTTTTTCCCCTTTTTTGTATTTAATATTTTATATTAATAGTCAAACCTTAATATCTGCTCATTTTGCTTCTATGCTATTGTTTTGCTATCCAGTGATGATCAGAGGAGGATGGGTTCCCCTTTTGAGTCTTGGTTCCTCTCAAGGTTGTTCTTAGGGAGTTTTACCTTGCCACTGTCACCGTTGGCTTGCTCATGGTGGGGGGCTGCTTTGTGTTAACGCCTGTTGTAAAAAGCACTATATAAATAAACATTGACTCGACTTGACTTCAGCCTCATAGAGTTAAATTCCATCACCAGCACACTTGATACCAAAATAGGTATTGGATGATAACTACAGTTAATACTGGGCTGCCACAAAGAGATGTCACTATCTATGGTGTTAATAGTATTTGTATTAATTCTAATATTGTCGTATTTCTGAGCAAATAAATGCTTACTACACAGATAAACAGCTTTTTAAATCTAAATTTCCCAAACTTTTACTCAGGGTATAGACACATGTATATATGAAGACTCTGAGTTCGATCCATGTGTGCGAGTGTTTTCAGTCATGCTCTGATTGCTTCTCAACAATATGTTAACAAGTTCAAATTTATCCAAGATCAATTTTTCCCATGTTTTATAAAATGTACAAATAGCATGAAGCATTTATGATTTAATATGCATATCACTTGATGGCTTCAAATGTGATAAATTAGGCAAATGAAATTTCATTGAACACACTGAGCTTGACTGAAAAGTCGATAAGTGATCAATACTCAAAGTCAGTCAGGGAAGTGAATGTCTTCCTGATGGTAATGCCATCTAGGAAATGAAGTGTGTCACGCTGTGAATCAAAAACATTGCTGAAGACACCAATAGACGGTAGAACAAAGAGTGCTGGAAACACAAGTGAATTAAATTTGCTCTTGCTAGCAGCTGCTTTGTTTTTGAACAATTAGTATAGTCTTCTAAAAGATTCTCATTCTTTTAATTCACGCATGCACTCATTTTTTGTTATTATTGGCCTACAAACCCCATGATGTTGATAATGCATGCTGCTCATGTATGTTCAAGCACGAGTTATTCATCATCATGTCATAAAAGACAAACACAATCACAGCATGTTGGTGTGTAAAAATGGTCTGTTTCATGTTTAGATTCAAAAAGATGCTCATTACTGTGCACTATAATAAACACATGGGCGTGCTGGAAATAATGATGCACATATGGTTGTAATTATCACCCGATATTACACACACAATAGAAAAACATGTAAACAAGAAGGAAACACTTGCAGTTGATCCATTCTACTCAGCACAAATACTGTTGAATTTCAGTTAACTGGGATGTTTTCTTTCATAAACCTAACCAAACAGCCGTGTCATCATGTCAGTCAAAGCCCAGCATGCATTTATTCTACTGATGTCTTCTGTTAAGAGGTTGGTTGGCTTCATAAAAGCAAATAATTAGGCTAATTGAAAGCCAACTGTATTTAAAACCAAATGGATCAATTGCGGATCTTTGAGTGCAAAATCAATTGCGTGTATCCGCTGGATTACATTAGTACAGTAATAAGCGAGAGCGTTCTTGTGTCGTGCTGTAATTTATGTGGGATGTGTAACGTTTAAGTAAGACAGCACACATTAACATCCTAATTTATGTGTTCCGGAGAGCACTGAGAAGATCTAAACACTTCCTTGACATATAGATTGGCAGATGATGCTTGTGTGTGTGTGTAAGGCAGAGAGAAAGAGAAAGAGTGATGAGGACTGTTCAGTCATTTGTGCAGTGGCCTGTATTTAGTCATTCATTGTGGCTATTGTGATTTGATTGAGAATCTTCAATAGCACATTATACAAATTTGATGTCCCCACACATCCAATAACGCGGTGCCAGGCCCGTGTGCCAGCCAGTCTCATCAGACAGAGTGCTACAGTGCTGGGTTGATAAAAGGAAAATCAATGGCAGATTTGTGGCAGGAAGTATCATATATAGTGCTTCAATTATCCAGGCACGATAAAAGGGAAGGGGCTATTCTGCATGTGTCCAACCCACAAATCTTAGGCCTCGCTGGGTCTTCAGCGTCCGCTGCAGAGGAATGGGCATAAGGACCCGGCTCTCGAGGATAATTCTTCAGCGCTGTTCTCATTAATCACACTTTGAAGCGTGTGCTGTATGAGCAGGCACTTTTTCAGGCAATATCGATTCAAAGTAATTTGAACTGTATCATCTGTATAACTAATTGATCGCTCGTTTCAAATTCCGGATCGACGTGTAACCACATCTGGCCTTTAGTGGAGCCTATTAGACCTACTTCTTTGATCCAGCTGAAATGTATTAATTCGAAGGGAAAGATGAAATGCCATTAATTTCCTTTTTCATGTTGTGTCCTGTACGATCGTAAAAGCAAATTGTGTGTAATTAATGCAATTACGTTCGAGAAACAGTAATTGCAGTCTCTGATAGCCGCTTTTTGATGCACGATCAAATCTGTAGAAGACAAATCGGCTGCACTTTTAGTTGCCTCTCTAATTGACTTCACAACACTGGAATATTTAATACAAAGGAATTACACTGAGTTTTGTAATACAGAGAGCTGCTTTTTTAATGGACTAAAGTGCAGCAAAAGTTAACAAATTAATTATCACAATTTACCACTGATTGAATTATTGATAGTTTCATTTTTGACTGAAGCTGATTTCTACGTGTAATTACACATTGTTCAATATGCCAGAAAAGGTTTCCTGGAGTGATGCCATAGAAGAACCACTTTTGATTCTCCAAAGCTGTTTTTCCACTGCATATTCCAGAAAAAGAACTCACCCAAACCAATGGAACTTACGGTTCCAAAGTTTATGGTACTAAAATGCCCTAATAAGATGGGTGAGTGTGAAGAACCTTTGTAACCCCTTAAACTCTAGGCGTATTATAA